AGAAGCCTTCTAGTTTTTTTTTTTATTTGTTTCCCTTGGGCTCAGTTTCGTTTTCCCCGGTCCGCACCTCAAAGGGCCGTTTCATTCATCGTGCGAAGGATATATATATATATATTTTTTTTTACTTTCGCTTCATTGCGACTGCGCACCCCCCGTCCTCTCAGCCTACACACACACACATATATATATACATTACACAAGCTCCTTTTTCCGTTTTATTGCATTTCAGGAGACACACCTCTTCGGACGCCGCCACCACACTCACCCACGCCTACTCCTCGGCAAAGAGGGGGAGGGTCTTTGTGTGTGCGTGCACAGGCAGGCAGGTGCGCATACCGATAGACAAAGCAGGATATAAATATATATATATGTAAATGAACGTGTGGGCGAGCGTCCATGTCTGCATTGAGCTGAAACTATGCTCTTGCCGTTCATGTGCGTGGGAGGGGGATCAGTTATAGCGGCCATTGTAGCGGCCGCGGCCACCGCGGCCACGGCGTGGGCCACGCATATTGCCAACCATCTCGCTGCCGAACGTCTCAGCGTCAGCTCTTTTCATTCCCTCACGGTCCAGCCGGATGACGCGATCCTGGTCGCAAGATATCTTGTCAAAGAAGCTGCTCCTGTCATAAACCTTGCTATGCGTCTTGGCTTCCTCCTTGGCCTTTTCAAACTCGTTCTTCTTCTTCTCAAACTCCTCCCGGCTCTTTGAGAAGTCAAAGTCGTCCTTGAACTCCTCCTTCGCGGCCCCCGTGGCAGGGCGGAAATCCTGCCCCGTGTGCCCATCCGCACGACGTGCCCCGCGATAGCCGCTACCGCCACCTCCACGACGGTAGCCACCACCGCCGTAACGCTGCTGCTGGTGTTGGTGTTGGTGCTGGTGTTGGTGGTGCGGTTGATGATGATGGTGCTGCTGCTGCTGCTGCTGCTGCAGTGGGTGGGGGTGGCCAGATGAAGGACCACCGCGCGGCTGCGTGGACGTCAGCCTGGCAGGAGGGTTGCGGGCAGGGAGCGCCGTCACAACTGCCGGGTCCATCATGGGATTATGCGGCTCCTCAAACACTGTCAGTTCCTTGATGTCAGATCCGCGGAAGACAATCTGGTCAAACAGTTGCTCAGCAGGGGGAATTTGGGCCTGCCCCGCACCCTCGGCGCGGTCCTCCGTACCGAAGACACGCACATTTGTCAGGCTGACGGTGTTGTTTGGCCCATCGATTTGACCCAGGGTCCCCTCGTAGCGGATTAGGCTGTTGGTAATGAGGACAATCGTACTACCTATAGCACGCTCCGTGGACATTTCGTCGACCCTTTCCTTCTCGTTTACGTTTCCTCTTTCTTTTTCCTTGTTTTTTTTCTTCCGTTTTTCCTCCTTCTTCTTTTCTTGATGCAGAAAAAAGGGTGGAAGGGGCAGGCACAGAAGCAGCATTTAACGTTGGCGCCTCCGCGTTATTTCCATTCCGCCGGTTTTGCTCTCGTTGTTGTTGCCGCTGCTGCTGCTGGCCCTAAGATGGGACTCGGTCCATCCCTCACAGGCGGCTGGCGTGCGGCACAAGCTCAGCGACAGCGCAAAGCAAACCAAAACAAAAAAGGGGGAGGGAGGGGATGGCAAGTGAATGGAGGGGGAAACGCCAGGCAGGCAAAGGGCACTTTTGTTAGGTGCGTCTCCGCCGGAGGCGGCACGCCACTCGGGCGTGGACTGAGGCGGAGAAGCAGGAGGAAACAGCTGGGAAAAGAACCGCGACAACGGAGCCACGTGGAGGCAGTACCTTCCCTCCTCCTCCGGCACGCTCGGGCGATGTTTTTGTTGCTGCCTTATATTTGTTTTGTTTTGTCCCACCCACCCACCGTTCCGTTCGCCCCTTGTCTTTACATTGACTGCTCCGAGGAGGTGACGGCGCGGGCGATGGAGAAGGCCTCGTCCTCCGTCAGATCCTCGTACAGCAGGACGTTGTACAGCGTGTCGCCCACCACCACGCGGATGTGGTTGGCGGCCTTCGCCAGCGTCAACTCGGCCTCCGCGCCGTCCTCCACGCCATGCCGCTCCTGCAGAAGCGCCGCGCGACAAATGAGCTGCAAGGCCCGGCAGCAGTCCAGGATGGAGGTGACATACCCGCTTTCCAGCAGCCGCAGGTATTTGAGCAGCGTAAAGTGGGCACTTCGACGCACAATGATGTCCAACGTCAGCCGCTGCCGCGCCTCGCAGGCGGTATCAAGCAGCATAACGTTGACCGCAGTGCTGCCAAAGGAAATTTGATGCCGCCTCAACGCCATGGCCGCGTTCAGATTGTCCTCGGCCTCAATAGCCAGGCGGTCCTCATCCACCACGTCAAAGCAGCGGGTTAAAATGGGGCCTGTTAGCTGAATGTTCTTCGCCACCATCGTCAGCAACTCCGAGCCTTCCACACGGAGGCTCAGCTCTTCGTGGATCAGCAAGAAAAAGAGGGCCTCTAACAGCTGCCGTGCACTGTCGGGCGTGACATCCAACTCAATTCCTACCACCGGCACCGCGCCTGTGTCCTCCCGCGCCTCCCGCGCAATGGCGTCCGTGTATATCTTGTCTCGCGACGACTGAAAGATGCGCAAGATGCGTGCGGCCTGGAGTATCACCGCCGTAGCGGTATCCCGGTGGGTAATCATTTGAATCACCCCAGACTGCACACGCGAGGAAACACGTGGGTTACTGCCCTCGCCCAAGAGAAGCAAGAGAGAAGCGAGGAGGTCCAGAACGTCCGACTCACCCTCGCGTCGTGTCGCCTGCAACAGCAAGCCTATTTCGTCGTCGTCGCACAACATTTCCCGATAGACCCTCCCTGCATTTGCCATGTACAACAGCAACAAAACAACTTCACGGCGGTCGTCGGTCACCAGGGAAGAGGTCGCAAGTGTGTCGATGAGCATCTGTGCCCCACCAATCTCCATCAAACACGTTAGGTAACGCACACCACGCACAAACACCGATATGGCGGCAAGAAGCAGACGCAGTGGATGACCTAATTTGTACGTCAACCGCAACCAAGCCGTAATGCGTGTGAAGAAGAGCATAGAGGAGTCACCCAAGTCTTTCTCCATCCTGTTGGTATTGCTCGAGGAATGTAACGCGAGGAAGGCCTCAAGAATGAGAAGGCGGGTGGCGCGAGATCCATGATCCCACTGCTCGACCCATATCGCCGCACGACGCCCAGCCACGGCCGGGTTTGTCGCGGCAATTAAGGCGTTCCTTTTGGAACGCTCAGCATGCCGCGATCGCACCGCCAAGGGCTTCCTACCATTATCCCCACCACCTCCAACCTCTCCCTCTCCTCCGGCAGGTGCTGACAGTGGCCCGGACGCCGGTGAGGCGTCGGTCGTGAATATCGGCGACGTACTGCAGCTGTTCAACGTCGGCGTCAGTGTCGCGTCCCCATCAGGGGGCACGCGGGGGGCATCCGAGAGCATGCGGGAGCGAGGCTCCAGCGAGTTCGGCGTTGTCCCCTCCTTCACACCGCGCAACGCCACATCCGTGGCGCTCCCTGCCTTTTTTCCGGCGCTAAGAAGAGGCATCCGCCCACCAGCTATGCAGACTACAAAAGAGGAGGTGGAGGGAATGAAGCAGCTCAAACAAAGGCGCCACAAACACTAACAAAGCGTAGGCGCACACACACGCAGGAAAAAAAACACACACACACAAAGAGGGGTCCCCGTACAGCAGTCACACGGTGGACCGCACCGTCAAGCCTACTCCTCCCGGGCCGGGAGAAGTTAACTACGCCTCCGCCGCCTTTCTCGACGCTCGCTAATACTGTCAACGCGTTGCAGCACGGATTGAGCGCTTCATCGGGCGCAGCACCAAGGTAAGCACCAGCATCGCGAGCCCAACTAAAAGAAGCACCAAAATTCCCACTTGAACCTCAATTAGCCGACGCTTTGACTTTGGAAGAAGCTGGAACTGAAGACGTTGCCTGTCAGTGTCGGAGGAGTGGGCACGGAGGTAGTAGGGCGAGCCGGGATCCTTGAGAATCTCATGCGCCCTAAATACACGATCCAACAACTTCGCGTCAGGGCAGGGACCGTTAGGGCCATACTTGGCACTCATTCGCTTGAATGCCTCGTCAATTTCCTCTACCGTGCAAGACTCCTCAAGGGCGAGGACCTCAAGCGGGTTATACTGCGAAAGGAAGGCCTCCTGATCCCGCTTCCCGGGAACCTGTGCAAACTGCGTGCGTGACTGGGCAGTGAGAGTCGCGTGGGGCACAGAAGTGACAGATATCGACAGAGAGGGGCCGAGGGCCCTACGCGCACTCGGTGGCAGGCCCCGGCTCACGCAGCCCCCTCTGAAGCCATACTGAACGCCACTACGCGCAAGCGCACGCAAGCCGCTCACGCTCATGTGACGGTGTTTATTGTTTATTGCTCTTTCCCCCCCCCCTCCTCTTCCTTCTTTTTGCGTATGTGTGAGCTTCTTTGTTGCCTTTCAGGTTGTGCTACCGCGGGAGGATGCTTCTCAGCCCGCAGCGCAGCAGGAGTTGTATCCAGCGCTACCCCTCAACCACAAAAATCTTTCCCACCCCAAGCACGACAAAACACACGCAGCAGAGAAAAGAAGCGTCAAAGCAGGGCCAAAGTCAAGGGCAAAAAAAAAACACACGAAGTGTGGCGCCACATGTGTCCACGTTGCAGCCACAAGCGCGCGCGCACACACACACAGACACATATGTAGGTCTATACCGAGAGAGAAAGAGAAAAGAAGAAAAACTCCCACAGACAAAATACGCACCGCATCGTACAACGCCGCCGCCCACTCCTTCCCTGCAGCTCACTCAACCTCCACCTGAATGGGGATTAGACGTCGAGGGAGTACAGAATAGTTGGCTTGCATCCCTCCTTAAGCTCCAGGTTAACTAGATCCTTGTCAAAGAGCTCGATGAACTCTTCGTTTTCAGCGCGCCCCTTATCCTGTGCGTATCTGCGGTACTCCTCCAGGATAGACACTAAACTCCAACCCTGCAACTTACGGAGGCAGCCACAGACTATGCCAGTCCGATACCGGCCTACGCTGCAGGTTAGTAGTAACGGGTAGTTGTTGGGATCGAGGAGCACGTGCAAAATATCCACAACGACTGGCTCCGAAAGAGTCATGCTCCCAGAGTGGTAGCCCACAGACCCCATTTTTTCCCCGAGCGTATTCACTTTCGACTCATCGTGGAGCGGGCACACTGTGCGTACGTTGTTTTCGCGAAGCCAAAGTACAAAGGCCTCGTCATGACTGTCCGTCAGCAACACGCACGTGCGAAGCTTCAGTGAGGCTAAAAAGGTGTAGTGGCACGGTTCTGGTGCGCCGCAGCGAAAAATGCGTTCTTCCACGTATCCAAAGTTCGGCGGTGCTATCTTCATATTGAGTCTGCGGCCCCCTCAAACAGCTCTGCAGTAAGGGTAAAAGAGAGAGAAAGAAGAGAGAACGGGAGGGAGCGAGCGAGGGGAAAGAAAAAAAAGGACGGCAAGTAACTAATACGGGCCATGCAACGATGTGTATGGGGCACTATATATACATATATACTTGTTACTACTGTTACAGGGGGAATTAGAAAGTAAAACCGCAGGCGGCCAGATTGATGAATTGCGGCGCCTCTGCCTACTCCCACAGCGTCACCAGACGGCGTGATTAAGCGCGAAAACACCACGAGTTGAAGGGCGAGACGACGACAACTGGCGTACGAAGAAAATAATTGGGTAGAGAAAAGGAAGACAAGGGAGAAAAATACAGAAAGAAGAAAAAAACGAGCCGTTCTAAAACGAGGGAAGTTTGTTGCCAAACTGTCCTTGCTGTTTCTGTCGCATAGTTGCGTAAGGGTCATTCCCGCCATCGGCTGCTACTTGTGTCTCATGCATGTCTCGTTTGCTGCGTATGCGCTCGTAGCTTTCCTGAATGGCGCACAACGTTAGCGCCATCTTCTTGTCCGTCTTGAGTGCGTCTCGCAGCTTCATCATAAATTCATCGTCGTGCTGTGCGGACTCCGTCAGAGCATTCATGGCCTTTGCCACTCCACCCTCGCGACGAAGCGTCTCCATCCACTCCTTGTCGTTCCGCAGCTCTCTTTGAATGGACTGCAGCCACTGTTGATCGCAACACGCCTGCAAAACCTCGTAGTAAAGTTGCGGATTAAATGTCCGGCCGCAGGCAGTCTGAAAAGGAGTATGCAAGCCAAGGCTACTGTGCAAGTGGTGGCCGCGCCGCAGCTCCCACCCGGGCGTGCCGGTCGCCGGTGCATCCCCCGAGACGGTGTGCGTGGGGATCTGGCCGGGAATGACAGTGCGCCGCTGCAGGCCTAGGGCGCAGCCCGCCCCATTTACCAGCGGCCCCCCGCACAGCGAGCGCCGCAGCACCGCCGCAATACCTCCGCCCATCCCCGCCTGCGCCATGCTGCTGTAAACGGGCCTTCCCGGAAGCCTTTGTCTTGCGCCCCCTACAGAAGAGAGAAAACAAGCAACACGCCCTTTGGCGGAGATTTAAAAAACAAAAAAAGAAGGAGCTGCGGGCAGACGCAAGTATCCGCCACGTAAAGCATGCAGCGAGTCCTCACACGAAGTGTCAGCGCAGCCCGGCCTGGCCCGCGGTGTGTGCCTTGCCTCTCCGCACTATCCCCCAGTGGCGCCTGCTCTCGCCACCCGTCCCCCGTTCGCTCGTCAGCGCGGGTCCCGCAGCCCACGTCCCACCAGCCCCACCAAAAGGCGGAGGGGAAGCCACCACAAGCGGCGCCGCCCCCGTGTGGGTGACTGCGCCGGGAAGCCTGCGGCACGCGGGAGACACGCCGGGCGGGGGCAGGAAGCGGGCAGGTTGCGGCGCAAAAATAACACACGCAGGCATGTGTCAGTAACAGGTGAATAAACCAAAAAAAGAAAA